AAAACCACAGTAGTGCTGGCTGATATGCAATTCCACCATATAAGGGTAAAGTCAACATTCTTACCCTTTGCTATGACATTTTCCTTGTGACACCTATAAGCTGAACAATAATATTTATAGGAACAGCAGTTCTGCTCTGTTAAAGATTTAAGAATGGAATATCCATTAAATGTTTACTTCCTAAGATTCTTAAGGGTAATTTGAGGCAGTTGGCTGCTTAATATTCTTCTTCACTGTGAGGAGTGGAATCTCAGGTTAGAGACTGCCTTTGTCCTCAAACTCTGTGCCAGCAATATTGGGAATGCTTCAGACTTTCAACCAGTGCCAGAGAGAAGGGGAAGGCCTTTCTTCTTTTAACCACAAAGCCAGCAGCAGATTAAGGAGTGGTGTTACCCACCCTACACCAAGACTCACTGAGTCTACTTTTGCTGTAAGTCCTGTGTCTCATACCCGGAAGTGTTCCAAATGTGGAATGTGTGAAGCATACATCACCTCAGTCTGTTGTGACTGAGGCATTCTTTCAAAACGTGTCATCTGAGTCCAACAATATCACTATTTAATTAACCATTGGGTTTTATATATATATATATATATACATACAAAATAAGGAAGAGGCTCCCTTCCTTCTCTGTGAACACAATCCAACTGGATAATAAACAGTCTCCTAAAGTTCTCCATAGTTTACCATTCATTTTTACATAGCTATTGCATTTTAAATAAGAAAATAGGCAAATCTAGCTTATACTTAAGGCAGTCTCAAAAGGAAACATACAATAAAATATTAAATGTATCACAAATATAATGTACAATGGCTAATTTTATCATTTTGCTTTTAAATATATTAGGCCTAGGGAAACACCCTGGGTTTGGTGTGTTGCAGATAGATATGGATAGATAACAATAGATGTGGTGTATGACAGGTAAGAATAACCAGGGAGTGCTGCTAAGAGGGCTTAAGAGGTTTTCCTCTCTACTTTACCTGTTCTTCTTATGTTCCCTTTTTCACTTGTTGCTGACCTCATTCCTAACCGAGTCCGCATCCTGGACCCATTGCTACAGGATCTTGCCAACTAGTTTTTCAAACCAAGGTGTGTAATTAACATAGCAGGTCAACTACCACTGGTATAGACTGTCACACATTTTCTCATGGCTGAATCCAGAAAACAAACTAACAAAAACAAAACAACAACAAAAAAAATCTGTTCAAGACCAAAAGGTAAAAAGATCTTCTTTTCAAATATTTTGGGTAAGAAATGTCCTCAGATTAAACTATATGACAGAGTTAACTCAAATGAATTATAGGCCTAGTGAAAGTTCTGTGATTCTAATATATTCTAAAAATTAGCTAAACTAGCATTCAAAATATCTCTATTTTGAATTAAAATATAATAAAGCATTAAATAGAAACTTTTAAATGCTTAACATAACTAAGATTTTAAGCTTATGCTGCTTCTATATTTCATTAGAACAAAATGTTAATTTACATATATACCACACTTTAACTATTTGAAGTTTTTTCTGTTCACTTTCTTGAAAAGGAAGAAAAAAATCTTACATTTTTGAGTAATCTTTAGCATCAAATATTCATTGTAGTGTCTATGACTCATAGCAAAAGAGGTAGTCATTATTTTATATCAATGATGATCTAACAAAAAGTTTTATTGACTAAGTTTAACCTAAATATTATATCTGTAATATTCCTTATGTCAAATTTCATAAGGGTTTATAATTAAAGAAAAAAAGCCTGTTCTTGACTGAAATGTAAGCCCTCCATAATTACATGTCACACTGCAATTCTTATGCTATGAACTTGTGGTTTTCCAAATATAGGACAAAACATGTAGTTTTATCAGTGAGTTGATATTTAGTCTTTTTCTCCTTTGATTCCATAAATGGTGGTTCTAACTTTGAAATGGATCACCTAACTTACAACTATTTCCTTCATTTCTTTTTAAGAGAAAAAAATAACATACAAATTTCTGGTGTATTGACAAGAGAATTCAGCAACTCTCCCCCTGCCATGACCTTATCATTCAGGAACCCTGTTTTCTCTCTTTAGAAGGTTTCCTAAAGGAAGACTGTGATTAAAACCAATACCAGGGAAGCATCTTCCAATGTTCTTACCAGTGTAATATCTGAGTGTGACATCTCTAGATGTTACATCAGTGTAACATCTCTAGAAATGGAGGGCTAGAGGAACCAAGAACACAAACACTTGTCCCAGAAATAGAGGGGCCTAAACTTTGGAATATTTCAATAAAAAAGAAATCAAATTTGCATTTTAATAGATTGAAAATAGTATCGTCTACTTGAAGATCATTGTCACAAACCCAATGTGGAATCAATCCTATTTTGTTCATAATAATTTACTTAATAGAAGTTTCTTTAAATTTGGTGCAATTGGAGTTTTCCCCAAGTGGTTGAAAAATTACAGAAGACAACTTTTTCGCTAGCTAAGCTCAATATGTTTTTCTTCCATAATTATAGTAAAAGTACCTCAGCAACAACTTCCCCTTAAAAATTTCACTGCTATCATGGAATTATTCTGGATATTTAATTTTTCACTTCAGTTGTGGTGATATCCGGTAATTGTAGTAAGAAAATTATTTTGGATTGTACATTTTTCTTTGAACTTTTGGTTAAATCTCTTCATTTTTCTGATTAGTGTAAAATGATTAGGAAAGGCTTCTAAAGTTAAATAATGTTTGATTTTAGGAAGTTGGGAATGGAAAGTAACACCAAAGTTATTCTTCTGCTTCTAATATTCAAAAAATATTTTAAAAGTTGTAGTTACCAGAAGATTTGGCTGGGAAAACTGAATACCCAATTCTCTAATGTGGGTTCTCCCAAGTACAGCAGAAAATGTTGAAGCTCTGCGCCTACCAGGGAGGTTGAGAAAATCTGTTGCTCTTCTAGTCTGCGATATACGGTACAAGGGTTGGCCCTAGTTTGGTCCACCTGCCAGTGGAGTTTAAAGTTTCGAGGCTCAGAGGAACACAATGACTTGGATCAAACACCCTAAATGAGAAGAGGGCATTTCTGCAGCATCCAGGGAGTCCTCAAAGTCCTGCTAAACCAACTATCTCCTCTTTAAAGCGTTCAAGCTGCGGAAAGAAACGACCGATTGACTTCCTCTTTCAATGACCAGAGATTATTTCTGACAATCCAGGATATCCCGAAAGCTAGGAGACATATGGCTGGAAAATGAAACGATCCAGGAGCGTGGCCACATCATTGATTTGTGTCGCGTGGGGCCAGATGGGCACTCGGTGAACGGCGCAGGGATGCGAACGGACAGTTTCATAATGTGAATTTTTTTTCCCCATAACGCTAAAACAGATTTCGTTTCCTTCTCATTTCTTTCGGTCTCTAGTACCTGCTTTTCCTCCCTCTCTGCAATATCAATTAACTCAACTCTGCAGCAGGGTGGCCAGAAAGGAAGAGAATGAGGCGATCTCCATAACCTTAGGAAGTGTCGGAGGAGTCGCAAACCAGGGAACTGCGGCTGCGACCCGCCGCGTCCAGTGCGGATTTCAGGGTTAGCACTGCCTTGGCGGTCATGGAGCGGGCCGTGCCCTCGGTCCGTGGAGAATAGAGACCCGGGCGCCGAGAGGAGTTCACTGATCTTGTGGCAGGCTTTGAGGCCGTGGCTGGCTCTCACCCGCTGTCTTTTATCACCATTATCACCATTCTCGAGAAGTCATGGAAGAGGGCCCGCTGCCAGACCTCAGAGACATCGAGCTAAAGCTGGGACGCAAAGTACCCGAGAGCCTAGTGCGCTCCCTCCGCGGGGAGGAGCCGGTTCCCGGGGAAAGGGACAGAGACCCCTGCGGGGGGAGCTGCAGCGGCGGCGGCGGTGGTTGCTGCAGTAGCAGCAGCAGCTGCTGCAGCTTCCCTCCCTCCTTAACATCCTCCTCTTCGTCCTCCCCAACCTCTGGCTCCCCACGACGTAGCCACTCCAGCGCCCTGGAAAGGCTGGAAACCAAGCTTCACCTCCTCAGGCAAGAGATGGTGAGTGTGATGCTCCAGCCGCCGGGTGCGGGCCCGGGTGGAAAGATAGGGTGATCAGAGAATGGGGCCAGAGAGAGGCCATCAAGGGCTGCGGAGCACAGTACCGTGAGCGTGGGAAGTGCGGGGTTTAGAAGCACGCAGGGGGCGTGCGTCCGGAGGCAGCTACTGGGAAGCTTGTTTACCACGGACTTTGCTCGGTCATGCTTTGCTACAACAGCAGAGTCTGCTCTACTCTGTGTACTTTCTGATAGCGCCAATTCAATACGCCCAGCTCTGACTATGTAGCTACCAGCCCAGCTTCCCGAGCACCAGCCAACAGAAGGTTTCCAGTCACTGCATCCATCTGGGGCCTGCAATGTGCTTTTACACTTTCGGATAGGTTCAAAAGGTGGCTCAGTCCAATGCACTTACTGCAAAAATGCTTCCTAGCTTGCCAAGGGGTGGCGTGGCGGGGTCCTTTCAACCTTCCTTATAGCTTACTCTTCCACCACTATGGCTCCGCCTCTATCCCCACCCCCTCCCTCCTTAATGCAGCTGCAGCTGTTTCAAGGCCACTGTGGAGCATATTCTGCACAGCTGGCTCTTTAAACAGTGGCCCACTCGTCCTTGATGTGCTTATGAATAGATTGTTTCACTGTTTTGATCCAGGAAAGCAGGTGATCACCAGGCCCAGGGATTTGCTAATGACCATCTCCAACCCTTCTCCCTCAACCCTCAATCTGCAATTGTTTTCTCTGCTGTTTGCAAACGTTGGCCTAAGAATAGGACAATGGGACAAGTACAAGGTCTAAGAATGCTTGTTATTCCGGATGCACTTAAACTAAAACATTTATTTACTTGCTTTGAGCCTTGGGCGAGTCTCTATACCTCAGTTTATTTTCACAGTGATGAACTGATTGAAGGAAATTCTCTTGCTAAATCCTCTGAAGGAAATGACCAAGAATCAACATCATTTTCTACCAGCTTGCAGAGGACAAAGGTTTCAACAGTGGGCCTCTGTCATCCAGGGGATGGTGAGAAGGATTTCCGACAGAAATGACCTGGTCTTTGGGCGATTTGCATTTAAAAAGTTTCCTAGCTCTTCTTTCTGTGGTAGAAAACCCCAGGAAGTATTAAATTCCAAGCATAAAGTAATCTTGGCAAATATGTTAGTGCAAAAAGTCAGTCTTCAAAGGTCATGACCTACTAGAGCACTAAAACGTCTCTCTAAAAACCTCTCACTAGATCTTTAAGGCTGGCCAACTTAAAAACTTTAGTTTTTAAGGTCTCAATTATCCATTATCTTCACTTGGAATGTTCAACATGTTGAAAATGAATATCCATGTGAATATATGTACATTTATTTATACTTACATTTACATGTGAATATATGTACTATATATCTATATACCATGCACTACAAGGGAATTTATTATGATATTTATGGTTCATTGCCTAAATACACACACATACACAAGTTATACACTTTGGTCATTCAGTATTTATTAAACATTTACTATATCCTGATAATTAACTGCATGCTGAAAATGAAAAATGAAAATATCAAGGAGCATGTCTATTAAGGATTCTCATTTATTATTTATTATTTGTAGTATGCCAAAGCAAGTATGTTGAAGAATTACATAGGATAAAGGCAAAAATATTATTATTTTTGACTAAGGATATCTTCTAGACATATTTTTCTTAATGAAAACTTCAAAGTAGATAAAAATCTATTTCCTCAAACCAGATCTGGCATGTATAATATGGTATATTAATAATTTTTTTAAAAAGCAAATAGACACAGTAACAGATTGCTTAGTTTACCATTCATTATATTTTGTACGTGAAGCTTCATTTTCTGTAGACTTAGAAGAATTCTTGCCAAAGCAGATGCTTTTGTGATAATATTCTTAATAGTTCTTCATTTAGCAAATTTCCAAGACTATGTGAGTTTAGAAAGAGGTGACTGGAAAAGTTATATTTCCTTGCCAAAGAGACCATTCCATCCATTTAGCACCGGTGGATGCTAAATATCTAAATATCTCAGCTTTAGCACAATTGTAAAACATCAATTTTTACAAAAATGTTGGAAGTGTTGTTATAGATGCTGAACAGATGTAGTTCTGCAATTCTGCCTGTCTCCTCCTAGCATCCCCCAGTAGAGAAGTTAAAGATCTAGAGTTGGGCTACAAACTCTTAATCATGTCTATGTTATTTTCTCTGCTATTCTGTGGACACTATGTTAACTTCCTCAGTATTATGTGTGACTTCATATCTGATTCTCATTCTATTGACTTGTTGACACATTTTTCTTCTGGATGGTGTGGAATTATTAGGCTTTGGGCCTGCCCTTGGAACTCTTTCCAAAAAAAAAAAAACAAAAAAAAAAAAACACTTTAGCTATGTGCAAACTTTCCCAGAGATGCCCAGGAATGAAGACTTTCTTCTTTGCCTATAAGAATGGATGTGCATACCAATGACATAGTACAGCATACACTTGCAGGTAGTTAGTCACAACACTTAAGGTTCTTTATATACACATGATTTCATCATTATCTCTCTCACCTCCTTTTATGTTTTTATGGATAATTTCTCTAATTCTTGTGTAAAATGTTACAGTCACAATTGTTAAAAATCTATGAGATGAATTATAAAGCAAACGAGTTGACAAAGAGTTTGAAGAGGGATGAGAAACTATTCTTAATGGCCAAACTTCTTAATGCTGAACCACTTATTGACAACACAAAGAGTGTGATAAGTAATAGAAGGTGTTGGATGAAAAACAATAGAAAAGGAAATTTGCAGCCATATATATGATCCAGTAGGCCAATTCAAGGTAACTTCCAGGATGCTTTTGGGAGGGAACAAATATTCCCAATGCAAAATGTTTTTAGTTAATTTAGAGATAAGGGATTTTGATAATACAGTAAACAAAGGCAGAGATATACATAGAAAATTTATTATGAAATGAAAATACGTTTGGGCCTCTTACACAAAGTCTGAATAATATTTGTTCACTACTGTTCAGTTCACCTTTTTTGTCTGTCGTATCATTTGAGCATAAGGAAATGGGAAAGAGGAGGTATTTTCATCCACATTTTTTGAAGGAGATCACTGTGTTCTAGAGAATGGTTGTGAAAGCAGGCCAAGGTCACATAGCTAATAAGAGAACAGAACCAGAACTTGAACTCGTATCATCTGACTTTGTACTATGATTTTTCCCCATGTCAGTATGTATTCCAGTTATTTCTCTTCAAAATAAAGTATGGCCCTTATAAATCTGTAAAATCTCAAAATCTAATGAAGTGCAAAGGGACTCACCAAAACAAGCCCTCAGAATGTGTGGCAGGGTTTGTTTTATATTTGGATTCATTCAATAGTCAATAGTAGTTACTAAGCTCCTACTGTGTGTCAAGCCTGCCTCTGACCTGGGGATGTAGAACAAACCGGTGAAGTCCTACATTTGGAGTTTTCATTCCATTGAATATGCAAATACTTATTTTGAAAAATCTTCTTAAGAATGGAATTTAATATTGTTTATTAAATATTACTGTTTTTAAAATCTCACAATACCCCCAATCTTTTTCCAATAAATGTAAGTACTCTCTATCAAAATCTCTTTCAGTGTGTTATAATAAATTTTATATTATATCTTTTTTTACAAGATATTCAAAAGGTTTCAGTGCTATTTCAGTATGCCTATATCATACTTCTAGTTTGAGAGTGAAAGTTATTTTCATCAATTTACTCTAGAGGAAGTTTGAAATGAATACAATTATGAAGGCAATCACTAAAATATAGAAAATTAAAATCAGAAGGGGTTTAATGTACTCTGCCAAGTTTGTCTTCCTAGACAATGACTATTCAGAAAAATTTACCTATTGATGCCTCATTCTGGATTCTAGTCAGTTCTGTATTATGTACAGATGGTTTACCAATGTTAAGATAGTACAGTGTCATTATGAAAATTGGATAGAACATACTGTGTCCTGATCTTATTTGGGGCAATATTTGTACAGTAGTTGAATAATAGTGATGAATAAGAAATCTCTAAGTAGTTACTTATCCTTTCTTACTATTAAAGTAGTCAAATTCTTCACCTGATAACTCACCTTTTTAAATATATTTCCCTAAGCAATACTCAGAACAAGATAAAAACACACACACACATATACAGAAAAGTACACAAATTCTAAAAGCATAAAGATAAATGTTAAAATTCTTGAAAATTGTATATTTATATTTTGGTTTTATTGACACTTTCTCTTATTGATGTTTCCCCTCTTGTTTTAAATATCTTGGTCATTTTTATAATAAAAAAAATGAAAATACTTTTTAAACTCCCTAAAACTTTTTTTTTATTAAATTAACTTCACATTGCTTTGAGCACACTTCAAGGTAGTCTACACGATTTTTATCCTTTAGATACCCTGAGGCAGAAGCTGGAAAGTGGAAGTTATCTTCCTTGACGAGTTCCCAAGATACCAAAATGATAACATGGGAATATAATTTAACCAGAGAAAAGTTACAAACCAACATGTCAGCAGGTGCCTGAAGCCAAAGCAGACATCAGATATAAGTGTTAAGAAAAACAGATATAACTGAGGAGATATTTTACAGGAAAAGTGTCTTGTGCAAGAATTAAAAGCAATAGTAACTATGCAAAGTAAGGGCTTCATATTAATGATAAAGACATCACAGAAATGAGGAAGCTGATTCCTGACAGTGGCTTCTTCTGCCATTTTGCCTACAGAATGTTAATATACTTAATGGAATAAATATATCTGTTTAAACATACTTCCTTAGTCAGTGGATCAGATTAATAGCAGAGCAAACAAATGCAGTAATGTCACTTTATTAGAAACCCAGTCATATTTTAGAGGACTTATATATAACTCAGAAACATTGAACTTTGAAAAAGCCATAGTTCTGTCCTGTACCTAGGAATGTATGTTGGAATGGTTGACGCACACATGAAAAACATTTTCTGAAAGAAAAAAAAAAAACAAAAAAAACCT